ATGTAGCAACACTGAAATCAAATTCATTAAGTTTAATGAAATATAGTCATTTCTGCTCTAATGCTTGTTTTGAAATGTGAATTTGTTTCAACATGATTGCTGTATTAGGAGACAATATATTACAAAATTTTGCATTTGCTCATGTACAATTTTGTCTATAAGAAACACTAGATTAGTGGTTCTCAATCAGAACAATTTTGTTCCCTGGAGACATTTTTTATTGTTATAATGGGGGGATGGCCTACTGGCATCTAGTGAGGAGCAGCTAAGAATACTGGTAAACATCCTACAATGCACAGAACAGCCCTCAAAACAGAAAATTATCCAGTACAGGATGTTAGTAGTGGCAAGGGTGAGAAACTGTGTGAACTCTGTGAACCAACAGAACTGAGCTGCCTAGACATACATAAAATGCACATATGCAACACACTTCAAACATCAGATTACCCTATGTTATGACCCCTGCCTATCCACCTCTGGGGTCACAACTTTCCATCTCATTCAGATAACCTTCCTTTCACTACTTCACAATAGCTCACAAATTGCAACATTTGTTATACCCATTTCCACAAGCACATTTCAGGTAGTTCTTTTAGGTTTTGTTTTGTTTTTTGAGATGGGGGTCTCACTCTGTTGCCCCGGCCAGAGTGCAGTGGTGCCAATACAGCTCATCATAACTTTGATCTCCTGGGCTCAAGTGATTCTCTTGCCTTAGCCTCCTGAGTAGCTGAGACCACAGGGATATGCCACCACGCCTGGCTAATTTTCTGTAGAGAGGGGTCTCACCATGTTGCCCAGGGTATTTTTTGTTGTTTGTGTGTGTGTGTGTGTGTGTGTGTGTGTGTGTGTGACTGAGTCTCACTCTGTCACTCGGGCTGGAGTGCAGTGGTGTGATCTCAGCTCAGTGTAACCTCTGCCTCTGAGGTTAAGTGATTCTCCTGCCTCAGCATCCCAAGCAGCTGGGATTACAGGTGCCCATCACCATGCTCGGCTATTTTTTGTATTTTTAGTAGAGACAGGGTCTCACCATGTTGGTCAGGCTGGTCTTGAACTCCTGATCTCAGGTAATTTGCCCACCTTGGCCTCCCAAAGTGTTGGGATTACAGGCATGTGCCACTGCACCTGGCCTGCCCAGGCTTATTTCAGACAGTTTTTAAGGCAATTAAGATTAGTTATTAATCGTCAAAGTGCATAAAACTGCTTTTAGGTTCTAATCTTTCCTTGTTAACACTTCACAGATGAAAGTTTGAGTACTGCTTGCCTAACATTTCTCCCAATAAGCTCTGTGGTTTTTACTGCACAATTTTGCACAGTACTATGATTTTCAGAAAAGCATATGCTGTATTATTGCAGAACTGAATGTATGTTTAAACGTCTGTGTTAAAGAACCCATTCTCTCCTCTTCTCTGATTAAAATTCCTTACTCTTAAAATGCTTTTTTAAAAAAAAATTTTAAGTTTAAAGATCCAGAAAGTTACAGAGAAAACTATAATAAGCATCCTAGTAGTCACCACTGATTTAACAAGTTTAACATTTTTCTTCAGAGTCCCTTTTAATGAAATAGAATGTAACAGATGAAACTCAAGTTCCTGTGATTCCTCTTTTCAATCACTTTCTGATATTGTCACATTCTCCTTCCTTTGTAAGGGCAAACATTATGATTAATATGGGAACTTTTCACTTCATTTTAATATACATATGTATCAATAAATAATATTACTTTGTGTCTTTAATACGTAAATACTTTTTTTTTTTGAGACAGAGTTTCGCTGCTGTTACCCAGGCTGGAGTGCAATGGCGCAATCTCGGCTCACTGCAACCTCCGCCTCCTGGGTTCAAGCAATTCTCCCGCCTCAGACTCCCAAGTAGCTAGGATTACAGGCATGCACCACCATGCCCAGCTAATTTTTTGTATTTTTAGTAGAGACAGGGTTTCACCATGTTGACCAGGATGGTCTCGATCTCTTGACCTCGTGATCCACCTGCCTTGGCCTCCCAAAGTGCTGGGATTACAGGCTTGAGCCACTGCACCCGGCCCATAAATACTTTATTATACTGCAATTTGTATTCTTCCCTCAAAATCAACATTTTGAGATCTGTCCCTGTTGATTATATACAGAGCTAATTTATTTTAATTTTGTATAGTGTTCCACTGTCTGAATGTTACAAGTTTGCTTGTTTTTGAGACAGAGTCTCACTGTGTCACCCAGGCTGGAGTGCAGTGGCACAATCTCGGCTCACTGCAACCTCCACTTCCTGGCTTCAAGCAGTTCTGCTGTCTCAGCCTTCCAAGTAGCTGGGACTAGAGGTTTGTGTGGCCGCACCTGGCTAAATATTTTTGTATTTTAATAGAGACAGGGTTTCACCATATTAGTCAGGTTGGTCTCAAACTCCTGGCCTCAGGTGATCTGCCTGCCTTCGCCTCTCAAAGTGCTGGGATTACAGGGGTAAGCCACTGTGCCTGGCCTGAATGTCACCAGTTTTAAATCCATCTTTTATTTATTAATCATTTCTTTTCAGGTCTCTAATTTTGCTGTTTATATCCTTTCCATACACACACACACATTATATATGTAATCAGCGAAACTTCGCCTCCAAAAAATAACTATATATACAGGCTGGAGTACAATGGCTTGATCTCGGCTCACTGCAACCTCTGTCTCCCCAGTTCATGCGATTCTCCTGCCTGAGCCTCTCAGGTAGCTCAAATATAGGAGCCTGACACCATGCCTGGCTACTTTTTGTATTTTTAGTAGAGATGGGGTTTCACCATGTTGGCCAGGCTGTCGAACTCCCGACCTCATGTGGTCCACCCACCTAAGCCTCCCAAAGTGCTAGGATTACAGGCGTGAGCCACCGTGCCCGGCCCTATCCCCACATTTGTATTGGGTTACTTATCCTTTCATTTGTTCTATTTCCTTATATAACTTACATATTGATTATTGACTATGCAGTTAAATACTTTGTCTTTGCCTGTGGCTTACTTTTAAACTTTGTTTATGCTATCTCATACAGAAGTTTTCAATTTTAATGCAAATATAACAATATTTTCTTAGGTCTCTTTACTTTTTGAGTCTTAAATTCTTTTCTATACTGAGATCACAGATGCTCTTCCCTGAACGTCTCAAGTTCTTTTATGTTTAGATTTTTAATTCATCTAGCATGTATTTTTTTTTTAACGGTATATGATAGCAATTTTTTTTTTAATCCCTCAAATGGAAAAGTCAGTGGTCTGAAGTCGGCTTTTGAGGTCTGTGTATTAGTTTCCTAGGACTGCTGTATCTAAGTACCACAAACTGGGTGGCTTAACATAATAAAAATGTGTTCTCTTATAATTTTGTTGACAGAGTCTGAAATCAAGGTGCCAGCAAGGCCAGGTTCTCTCTGAAAAGCTCTAAGCCCTAGAGTCTATGGAAGAATCGGATCCGTATCTTCCCCTTAGCATATTAATATGCTTATGTATGTATGCATTTATTCTTTTTTTTTTTTTTTTGAGACGGAGTTTCGTCCTTGTTACCCAGGCTGGAGTACAATGGCGTGATCTTGGCTCACCACAACCTCCACCTCCTGGGTTCAAGCAATTCTCCTGCCTCAGCCTCCCAAGTAGCTGGGATTACAGGCGTGTGCCACCATTCCCAGCTAATTTTTGTATTTTTAGTAGAGACGGGGTTTCACCATGTTGACCAGGATGGTGTCGATCTCTTGACCTTGTGATCCACCTGCCTTGGCCTCCCAAAGTGTTGGGATTACAGGCATGAGCCAACGTGTCTGGCCTTCTTTTTCTTTTCTTTCTTTTTAGATCGAGTTGCCCAGGCTGGAGTGCAATAGCATAATCTCGGCTCACTGAAACCTCCGCCTCCCAGGTTCAAGCGATCCTCCTGCCTCTGCCCCTTTAATAGCTGGAATTATAGGCAGGTACCATCATGCCTGGCTAATTTTTGTATTTTTAATAGAGACAGGGTTTTGCCATATTGGCCAGTCTGGTCTCCAACTCCTGACCTCAGATGATTCACCCGCCTATGCATCCCAAAGCGCTGGGATTACAGGAGTGAACCACCACCCTCGGCCACTCATTCATTCATTCATTTATTTATTTTGAGACGGAGTCTCACTCTTGTTATTTATTTATTTTGAGATGGAGTCTCACTCTTGTTGTCCAGGCTGGAATGCAATGGGGGCGATCTCGGCTCACTGCAACCTCTGTCTCCCGGGTTCAAGCGATTCTCCTGCCTCAGCCTCCCAAATAGCTGGGATTACAGGCGTGAGCTGCCACGCCCAGCTAATTTTTGTATTTTTAGTAGACTCGAGGTTTCACCATTTTGGCCAGGCTTGTCTCGAACTCCTGACCTCAAGTGATCCACCCGCCTCGGCCTCCCAAAATGCTGGGATTACAGGCGTGAGCCACCACGCCTGGCCTAATTCATTTAATAATCAGCAAAAATCCTCAACAGAAAAGTTTACAAGATAAAAATACCCTCTAAACCTCGATTTTAAGAAAGCACTAACTTAAATTTTTGTATACTCTTCTACTCCTTCTAATGTATCATCTTACACTCAACACAAACCACGTTAGAAAATACATTCTGACACTGAAGCCCCCGTCAAACACCATTTCAACCACTCGGAATCTAAAATCTTTTGGAACAGCTGTTCTCACTTCGATGACTATGATGTAAAACTGGCTGACGGGTAACATCCACCTCTGGCCTCAGAGCTTTTATCCTTTCCGCCGTCTGCCAGCCTCGCTCAGGCTCCTCCCCGTTCCTAGGTCGGCCTCGGGCGACGCTCGGCTTTGTCAGGGGTTTGGCTACAGACAAGCCACGGGAGTGGAGGCCACGAGCTCCCCGCAGGGCCCGGACTCCCAAACGAAGCGGCCTGCAGACTCCGTCCTACTCGTGCACCGCGGCTGCCTATGGGGACCCCAGGACACGGGCTAGCCCGGAACCCGAGGGCCCACCCCGACCCCGAAACCGGGCGTCCACACATACCAGCCCTCTTACCCGAAGCGGCTCCGTCATGGCCCCCGCGGTCCCGCCCGGCCCTGGCAACGCTGACCGTCCCCGACAGCTCCGCGGGAACCAGCCCAACTGCACACGGACTCCCCTTCTACTCCGTCCCAACCTGACTCCCAGGGATAGCCTGGGTGGCCCCCAATCGAAGCGCCGGCCAGGCGCAGTGCATGCTGGGACTCGGCGCTGGGTAGCGGCGGCCGCTCCGCCCCACAGCGCCCCCTGCGGGCGGGAGGAGCGCCGCCGCCCAGGGGTTGGGACTCAGAGGAGGGGTCTCCGGGCGCCCTCCGTGCCGGCCGCGGCATTCCGGTCTTTGAGGGACCCTCGGACTCCCGGGATCTACATCGAGGGAGGCAGTCGCAGACGAGTTGAGGGAGCTTACGGATGGGGAAACGGAGGCACGTGGAGATGGAGAGAGCAGGGACAGGGAGACGCGCTCCACAGAAGCCCAGACTGAGAGGCAGCGAGAGGGGAGCTTCCGGTGCGGTCCCTCCCAAAGCCGCCCCCGAGTCACGGATGAGCTCGAGGGCTTCGTCTGTGAGGGGGTCCCGGGAATCCAGCGAGGCCGGGCAGGGGGCGGGAAGTGCGCGGTGGCCCGGGTGTCCGTCCCGCCGGGGACGTGGAGGCTCTGGAGTTCCCAGGCTTGTCCTGTCAGGGACGCGGAGGTGGGGTCCGCCCACCACGCCCGGTCCCCGTGGGTCCAGGGCCCTTCTGGGCTCCCCGGGCCGCCACGCTCCCTCTTGGGAGAGAAGGGCCTCGGGCAGAGACCCCATGGGGAAGCCACCCCAGCTTCAGGGCCGCCTGCGGGACTCAGGGTCTCAGGGTGGCCCAGGAATGCGGGCCGGGTACCCCCGGCCCTGGCAGGAAAGAGAGACAGAGCGGGAGGAGAAGACAGAGGAGGCGTGAGAAACACGGGGACGCAGCAGGAGAGAGGTGGGAAGACGCAGGAGAAACCAGGGAGAGACAGAAAGGAGAGAGAGGGCGAGAAAGGGGCTGGCGATTGTGCACAGAAAATCAATCTCTCACTCGGTCCTGGTCATGTCTTAGAGGTCAGCCTAAAGTAACAAATGAAAAGTGTGCAGTTGGGAGAGGGTGTCCATGAGAAATAAAATAGTCCCCGAATAGGCTAAGGAGAGTGTGCACATCTGTGTTTGCCACTGAATCAAGACGTGTACATGCACCTTACTGTTGAACATTTTTTATTTTTACAAATGATATACGGTACAATTGTTTTCTTATGCATAGTGCTATGAACTTTTAACTATGAACTTAAAAAAATACTTTTAAGGTATATAGAAGTATAACTTCTGGCTGGGTGCGGCGGCTCATGCCTGTAATCCCAGCCCTTTGTGAAGAAAGGGGGGGCGGATCACCTGAGGTTGGGAGTTCGAGACCACCCTGACTAACATGGAGAAATCCCATCTCTATTAAAAATACAAAATTAGCCGGGCATGTTGGCACATGTCTGTAATCCCAGCTATTTGGGAGTCTGAGGCAGGAGAAATGCTTGAATAAGGCAGGTGGAGGTTGCAGTGAGCTGAGATCACGGCATTGCACTCCAGCCTGGGCAACAACGAAACTCTGTACCTCCACCCCCCAAAATAAGTATACTTCTATACTACTACATAGAACTCCAAATTTTAACATATGTATAAACATGTAACTGACATCATAATCAGACTGTTGTAGAACCTCAAAATCAGGCTTCTGTACCTCGGGCAGCTGAGGCCAAATACAGACACCGGTGCGTGCAGATAGAGATTCAGCCGAAGTAAGAAGGCAGCAGAGCAAATCTCTAAAACCCATCTTAACACAAAAACAGGGAGTTTTAATGGGGCTAGAAAGTAAGGGAAGGGAGTTTCAGGGAACCAAGGGAAAAAGTCTGTTTCTTCAGTCTCTGATAACACCTTGAACAACCAGACTGCTGGGCTCAGCGGCTGGCCTCAGTGACCTTGAAGGCATTAATTCCCCCTGCAACAACTTTTCATGACCCTGGAGTTATCTCCTCCTCCTTGACAATGAAACAGTGCATCAGCACTATATAATTATATTGTGAGAACAAAGAATATTGAGCAAAAAGTGAGTGGTTAAAACATGCAAACAAGCAAGGGCCTGATCAGAATTTTCATTATTTCAGTCCTTAAGAACTGCAGGACGCTGAACTCTCAATGGGACCTGTTACAAGGCTATTGCAAGTTTTATCACCCTCTAAAATGCCTTGTAATATCTTTAAAATTTTTTCTAGAGACAGGGTCTTGCTATGTTGCCCAGGCTGGTCTCAAAATCCTGGCCTCAAGCGATCCTCTGCCTGGGCCTCCCAACGTGCTCAGGTTATAGGTGAGAGCCACGGTGCCCAACTAGCTTGTAATGTCTTTGGCTTCACCTCCCTTCCTACATCTGTAACCCTTAGCAAGAGCTGATTTATTTCTGTCTCTATAGTTTTACCTTTCAAGAATGTGACATAAATGAAATTATACAGTATGTAACCTTTTGAGACTTATAAAAGGTTACAACATACTTCCACTCACTATACCTTTGAGATTCATCCACTTTATCTGTATCAATGTTATCTAGGAACACTGGGTGTAGTGGCTCTCACCTGTAGTTCCCCTCAAGGGATCCTGAGGTGGGAGGATCTCTTGAGCTCAGGAGTTCAAGGCCAGCCTGGGCATTGTAGCAAGACTCCTTTCTGTAAAAAGCAAACAAAATTCAAGTCAGGCACAGTGGCTCACACCTGTAATCCCAGCACTTTGGAAGGCATATGCGGGCAAGTCACTTGAGGTCAGGAGTTTGACACCAGCCCGGCCAACATGGCAACACCATCTCTACTAAAAATATGAAAATTAGCCAGGCGTGGTGGCACCTGCCTAAAGTCCCAGCTGCTTGTGAGGCTGAGGCAGGAGAATTGCTTGACCCTGGGAGGCAGAGGTTGTAGTGAGTGGAAATCACACCACTGCACTCCAGCCTGAGTGACAGAGCGAGACTTTGTCTGAAAAGAAAGGGAAAAAAATGCATCAGTACTATGTGTGTATTGTAGTCTGCAGAGCTACCATCCATCAAAGGACATTTGGGTGACTCCAAATTTTAGCAATTATGGAGGGAGCTGCTGGAAACATGTTTTTGAGTGAAAGAGGTTTTCATTTGTCTACAATAAATACCCAAGAGTAGGATTTCTGGTCATTCAGTAAGTACATGTTTATAAGAAACAAACCATTACAAACCATTTTCTTTCCTTTCTTTCTTTTTTTTTTTTTTTTTATGGTGAAAAGATATACATATATTTAGAATTAGCCAGCTGGACTGTTTAGATGATCCCAATTTTGTTTGCAACATCCAAAGCATCATAATCAGGAGCCAGTCGAACATATGCCTTCTTCTCTCCATCAGGCCGAATCAGGGTGTTGACCTTGGCCACATCAATGTCACAGAGCTTCTTCACAGCCTGTTTGATCTGGTGCTTGTTGGCTTTAACATCCACAATGAACACAAGTGTGTTGTTGTCTTCTATCTTCTTCATGGCAGACTCAGTGGTCAGTGGAAACTTGATGATCGCATAGTGGTCAAGTTTGTTTCTCCTGGGGGCGCTCTTCCGAGGATATTTGGGCTGCCTTCGGAGTCGCAGTGTCTTGGGCCGCCGGAAGGTGGGTGACGTGCGGATCTTCTTTTTTTTGTGGCTGTGGACACCTTTCAACACTGCCTTCTTGGCCTTTAAAGCCTTCGCTTTGGCTTCGGCTTTAGGAGGGGCAGGAGCTTCCTTCTTCGCTTTCGGCGCCATCTTGTGAAAAGGGTCTCTTCTTTCTTTTTTTTTTTTTTAAGACGAAGTCTCACTCTGTTGCCAGGCCGGAGTGCAGTGGCGTGATCTTGGCTCACTGCAACCTCTGCCTCCTGGGTTCAAGCGATTCTCCTGTCTGTCTTGGCCTCCCAAAGTGCTGGGATTACAGACGTGAGCCGCTGTGCCCAGCCCTGAATGCCTACTCTTGACTAGACACTATGTATTTTACATTCATAATCTCACTTTCATTCTCACATTATAGTGTCCACTAACTTGACCCTTATTTCCAGAATCTGAGCACTGGGCATGAAACAATTTATACTCCCTTACTTAGGTGACCAGATTTGGGGGCAAGGAAGACAGCTTAGATAGAAACTTCTGCTTGACTTCTGAATAAGCATGAGCATCTAGAAAGTTCCAGGTAACACTTAGCAGAGTTCCTTTCTCCTCCTTTCTTTTTCTTTTTCTTTCTTTTTTTTTCTGAAATGCAGTAGTTTTGCTCTTGCTGCCCAAGCTGGAGTGCAATGGTTTGATCGCGGATCACTTGCCTTCTGGCTTCAAGTGATTCTCCTGCCTCAGCTTCACGAGTAGCTGGGATTAAAGGTGCCTACCACTGCACCCAGCTAATTTTTTTTTTAGACGGAGTCTTGCTCTGTTGCCAGGCTGGAGAGCAGTGGTGCAATCTCCGATCACTGCAGTCTCCGCCTCCCGGGTTCAAGTAATTCTCCTGCTTCAGCCTCCTGAGTACCTGTGACTACAGGCATGCGCCACCCCGCCCAGCTAAAATTTTTGTATTATTAGTAGAGACAGGGTTTCACCATGTTGGCCAGGATGGTATTAATATCTTAATCTCGTGATCTGCCCACCTTAGCCTCCCAAAGTGCTGGGATTACAGGCGTGAGCCACCTGGCCAACTTTTTCATACTTTTAATAGAGACGGGGTTTTACCATGTTGTCCAGGCTGGTCTCAAACTCCTGACCGCAGGTGATCCACCTGCCTTGGCCTCCCAAGGTGCTGAGATTATAGGTATGAGCCACCTTGCCCAGCCCTTTCTCCTTTCTTAAAGCTACCCCTCTTCCTTGTTCTCAGCTCCTCCCCATTCTCTACCTGCACTTGGTGACTTTTTGCTCCTAGAATTCCTGCCTCAGTTTGACCTCAGAAGCACTCTTTTTTTTTTTTTTTGAGACGGAGTTTCGCTCTTGTTACCCAGGCTGGAGTGCAATGGCGCGATCTTGGCTCACCGCAACCTCCGCCCCCTGAGTTCAGGCAATTCTCCTGCCTCAGCCTCCTGAGTAGCTGGGAGAAGCACTCTTTATTGCTGTTTCTGTGCCAGTCCCCCATGTATGGACTGGGAGTGATTCAGTAGGTCACTCCATGTACTGCAATCCATCACCTAGCTCACACTCAAGAATGCCTGTGTTACCAGTATAGCTGAAAAAAAAGCATTTTTTTTTGTAGATGTGGCTGATTTTCATAAAGGTACCCTCCCCTCACCATTATATTAAATGTAGAAATTGAAACTTACAGAGCTCTAGTATCTTGCCCAAGGTCAGGGCCAGAGTCTGTTATATTTTGTGGGTCTTACTCCAAGCCCTGTGCTTTTTGGACTGTGACATGGAACTGCCCCTTCTTTTGTTGCCCAGGCTGGAGTGCAATGGCAGGATCTTGGCTCACTGCAACCTCTGCCTCCCGGGTTCGAGTGATTCTCCTGCCTCAGCCTCCCGAGTAGCTGGGATTACAGGTGCCCACCCCCACACCCAGCTAATTTCTGTATTTTTAATAGAAAGAGGGTTTGCCATGTTAGCCAAGCTAGTCTTGAACTCCTGACTTCAGGTGATCCAATTACCTCAGCCTCCTTAAGTTCTGGGATTACACACATGAGCCACCACGCCCGGCCCGGCCAAGGTAAGTATGGTTCTTTGAGAACTGACATAACACTGTCGAAAATGCAGAAGGGTTAGATAAATAGCACTGCTTATTACTCATAATGGGGGATTTTTAGGTGATTTAAGTCAATTCAGCAGGAAATAACACATGGGTAATCATTTTAACAAACGAGATTGTGGAAGACATTTATTTTTAGCAATATGGAAAATTTCAAGAAACAGATGCTCTCTCACCACCTGAGAGAAAATTAAAATCCACTATGAGAAAAAACTGAAGGCTTTAATGCAAATTTCAGTAAAGTAGCCTGGATGGAAAAGCTGACTGAGGAGTATGAAGGAATGCTCCTGCCTGTAACACTTCTTCACTCAGGCTGTAGTTTCTGAATTTAATGAAGGGATTATTACTACGTTCTTGGATGACACCGAAGAGATCTGTTGGACCAGCAGATCAGTAGAAAATGTGTCCTCCACAACTGGGAGGTTTTTCCTATGAGGATTATTGAAGGGTGATGTCTCTTTGACTGTCTTTGCCTGGATTATTTGGAACTTTTGTCAAGGAGCCATCGGGTTCTGCAGACAACACATCTGTCCAGTATGTCTGCAGCCAGTATTCTGTGATTTATTTTATTTTATTATTATTTTTTTTTTTGAGACAGAATCTTGCTCTGTCACCCAGGCTGGAGTGCAGTGTTGTGAGGATGGCTCACTGCAGTCTCTGCCTCCTGGGCTCAAGCGATCCTCCTACCTCAACCTCCTAAAGTAGCTGGGACCAGAAGTATGCACCATTACGCCTGGCTGACTTTTATATTTTTTGTAGAGATGGAGTCTCCCAACATTGCCCAGGCTGATCTCAAACTCCTGGGCTCAAGTGATTCTCCCGCCTGTGCCTCCCAAAGTGCTGGGATTACAGGCGGGAGTCACTGTGCCCAATCTTACCCTACGAATCCTTTCACCTGCCTCCACTCAAGGCCAACAGGGCTGCTGGCAGCACCGAAAGCCGTGATTGCAGGACTGCCGCATGGCCTGACCTAGAGGCTGGAGGACTTCTTGGCATGCACTGCCATGTGGGTCTTGAGGGCCCCCACATACGTGAAGCTCCTTCCACACTCATCACAAGAAAAAGGCCTCTCCCCACTGTGAAGGCACAGATGGGCCTTCAGGCTTCTCTTCTGAAGGAAGCCCTTGCCACACTCAGGGCACTGGAAGGGCCTCTCTCCACTGTGCGTGTACAAGTGGACCTTCAAGCTTCCCCTGACGCAGTAGCTCTTGTCACACTCCGGACACTGGAAGGGCTTCTCCCCGCTGTGGACTCGAGTGTGCTCTGTGAGCCGGTACTGCTGAGTGAAACTTTTGCCGCACATCACACAAGAGAACGGCTTTTGGCCACTGTGCTGCAGCAGGTGGCTTTTCAGGTTTCCCTTGAGGCGGAAAGTCTTCTGGCATTCAGGACACTGGAAGGGCTTCTCTCCGCTGTGCAGCCTCAGGTGCTCAGTGAGCTGAGACTGATGCGTGTAGGTCTTGCCACACTCACCACACACGAAGGGCTTCTCGTCCCTGTGCATCCGCTGATGGAACTTCATGGAGGCCTTCCAGGAGAAGCTCTTGTCACACTCGGGACACTGAAAGGGCTCCTCGCCACTGTGAAGCCTCGTGTGCTCCCTGAGATGCGAGCGCCGGCGGAAACCGCGGCCGCACTCAGCACAGGAAAACTGCTTCTCCGTGGTGTGGACCTTCAGGTGCTGCGTGAGCCGCGACTGCTGAGAAAAGGTCTTTTTGCACTCGCCACAGGGAAACTCCTTCTGCCTGTCGTGGACTCTGGCATGGCAGGCGAGCTTGGAGGGCCGCGTGAAGCGCTTGCCGCACTCTGCGCAGGGGAAGGGCTTCTGCTCGCTGTGCAGGCGCTGGTGGGCGCGCATGGCGTTCCTCCAGAAGAAGCCCCGGCTGCACTCCGGGCACTGGAACGGCCTCTTCCCGCTGTGCTGCAGCCCGTGGGCCTTCAGGCTTCTCTTGAGGCGGAAACTTTTGTTACACTCGGGACACGAAAACGGCTTCTCTCCTGTGTGAACTCGTATGTGCTCGTCGAGCTTAATCTTGTAGATGAATTTCCTGCCACACTGATCACAAGAAAACGGCTTCTCCTCGCTGTGCGTCCTCTGGTGGGTCTTCAGGGCCGCTTTCCGGGAGAAGCTCCGGCCACACTCGGGACAGTGGAAGGGCTTCTTCCCACTGTGCTGGGACAGATGTACCTTCATGCCCCTCTTCAGGCGGAAGCGCCGGTCACACTGCGGGCACTGGAAGGGCTTCTCGCCGCTGTGCAGCCGCAGGTGCTCCGTGAGTTCGCACTGCTGCACGAAGGCCCGGCCGCACTCCCCGCAGCCGAACGGCCGTTCCCCGCGGTGCAGGCAAAGGTGCTTCTTCAGGTTGGCCCTGTACCGGAAGGTCTTGTCGCACTCGGAGCACGGGTAGGGCCGCTGGCCGGTGTGGACAACCTGGTGAGTCACGAGGCTGCCCTTCAGGAAGTAGCTCTTCTCACACTCGCTGCATTGGAACCGCTTCTTCGGACACAGGAGCCTCTGCGGCCGCCTGAGTTCAGTCTTCCCTCTGGGCGTGCTTTTGTGCTTTGGATATCTGTAGGGTTGGTTCTTGGAGTGGCTCCGTTTGTGCTTTAGCAAGTCCCTCTTTACCTGGAAGACTTTCCTACAGACATAGCAGGAATAGCATCTTGGCCCAGTGGGAATTTCTAAGTGGCTTGGGGTCTCCCGAGGCTTATGCCACGGATCTTTCTGATCTGGATCAGATGCTGTGATGCTGACTTTTTTATTTACAATCTCTGTTTCTTGGAGATTTGGAGACTGGAAGCTGGCTCTTTGAGCTGATAAAATCTTTCTCTCCCTCCTGGGTAAGGCAGCACACAAGTCCTGTTTTTGGGGACCATTTAAATGGCAATCCTCTTCTTTTGTCCCGAGAGTTCCTCGATCATCTGGAGAGGAAAGAAGTATCACTCTCATCAGTGATATGTCTACTCTATACTTGGGCTCAAGGACTATCTTTAAAAAATTTGTTTTTATTTTATTTATTTATTTATTTTGCGACAGAGTCTCGCTTTGTTGCCCAGGCTGGAGTGCAGTAGTGTGATCTCAGCTCATTGCAACCTCAGCTTCCCAGGTTCAAGTGATTCTCCTGCCTTAGCCTCCAGTGTAGCTGGAATTACAAGTGTGTGCCGCCACATCCAGCTAAGTTTTGTATTTTTAATAGAGACAGGGTTTCACCATGTTGGTCAGGCGGTCTTGAATGCCTGACCTCAGGTGAGCTGCCCCCCTCCACCTCCCAAAGTGCTGGGATTATAGGCATGAGCCACCATGCCTAGTCATTCAAGGACTGTCTTCATGTCACCAACAAAGTAGGAAAGGAAAGGCCAGGCGCAGTGGCTCACACCCGTAATCCCAGCACTTTGGGAGGCCGAGGCAGGTGGATCACGAGGTCAGGGTATCAAGATCATCCTGGCCAACATGGTGAAACCTCATCTCTACTAAAATACAAAAAATTAGCTGGGCATGGTGGCGCACCTGTAACCCCAGCTACTGGGGAGGCTGAGGCAGGAGAATTGCTTGAAGCCAGGAGGAGGAGGTTGCTCTGAGCTGAGATCGCACCACTGCACTCCAGCCTGGGCAAGACTCCTTCTCAAAAAAAAAAAAAAGTCTTTCTGGCTGGGTGTGGTGGCCTACGCCTGAATCCCAGCACTTTGGGAGGCTGGGATACAAAAAATTAGCTGGGCATGGTGGCGAGCTCGTGTAACCCCAGCTACTTGGGAGGCTGAGGCAGGAGGATCACTTGAATCAGGAGGCAGAGCTTGCAGTGAGCTGAGATTGCATCATTGCACCCCAGCCTGGGCGACAGAGCAAGACTCCTTTTCAAGAACAACAACGACCAAAATCTTTCCAAGCTCCTCCCATTCTATAGGATGAAGTCAAACTTTCCACCTTGGCATTCCTGGTCTCAGGTAATCTGACACCAGTTTGTTTCTCCTCCCATGTCCCACTATGTTCCATGAGTACCATTCAGCTACAGGCAGGTTGATGTCTTCTCTGTTTTCTTTTTTTTTTTTTTTTTCAGATGGAGTCTCAAAAAAAACCTCCCCCTCCTGGGTTCAAGCGATTCTCCTGCCTTACCCTACCGAGTAGCTGGAGCTACAGACGGGTGCCACCATGCCCAGCTAATTTTTATATTTTTAGTAGAGATGTGGTTTCACCATGTTGGCCAGGATGGTCTCAATCTCTTGACCTCGTGATCCACCTGCCTTGGCCTCCCAAAGTGCTGGGATTACAGGCGTGAGCCACTGCATCTGGCCTAGTCTTCTCTGTTTTCTAAACATAATGGATTTGTTCCTACTTCTGAGCGTCAGGTCATGTATGACCCATACTGATTCTTCTTTCTCTAACCAAATCTGCCCATTTTTTGCTATTATATCCTAATTCCTCTTAGAGTACTCCTGGGATATTGCTGTCTCTCTTCCTCTCCTTCTCCTCTAAATCCCTGTAGCACGGAATCAGGGATTGCTTACTATTTTATTAACTCATATGCAATCTTATTTTATAGTTGACTAATTCAACTGTGTCTAGTTCAATAAATTGGCTAACTTAATTGCCATGTCAGTAAGATGATCAACATTAGAGTGTAACAATCGTTTTATTTATGTATGTATACATACACATACATTATATAAAGTTTTTCACTCTCACCTAAGTAATATAAATGTACTCCTGTGACTGTGGTAGGCACTCAATATTGGTTAGATGAATTAATGAATAGACAGTGGCAATAAAATGAAACCCTTGGGAATTCTTACTTTTTTTTTTGAGATGAGTCTCGATCTGTCGCCCAGCTTGGAGCACAATGGCAGTCTTGGCTCACTGCAACATCCACCTCCAGGGCTCAAGCAATGCTCCTGCCTCAGCCTCCTGAGTAGCTGGGATTACAGGTGCCTGCCACCACGCACGACTAATTTTTGTATCTTCAGTAGAAATGGTATTTCACAATGTTGGCCAGGCTGGTCTCAAACTCCTGACCTCCTGTGATCCATCCTCCTCAGCCTCCCGAAGTGCTGCGATTACAGGCGTGAGCTACCATGCCTAACCAGGGAATTCTTTCATCCTCTTGATGGAAATTGGACACACTCCCTGGGTTCAAAGTCTCCTTCTTCAGAGGAGTCCTTGACTCCCAAGGACTTAGAAAAGCATTCACGCACTATAAAAAGTAACATATTACCTTATGTTACAAGGAATGCAAAAGGAATTCCTTCAAAAGGAGTTGCAAAAACCCAATTTTAAAGTTCTGTACGATAAAAAAATATTTTGTACAAGATTAGAGGATTTTTCATTTCTGTATTTTCACGTAGACATGATAGTGTGACAGGAAGGTTGTTCTTCCTCTCAGGGTTTTAACAAATAGATACCTTGCTTGCTCTTTTTTTTTTTTTTTTTTTTTTGAGACAGAGTCTTACTCTGTCATCCAGGCTGGAGTGCAGTAGTGTAATCTCGGCTCACTGCAAACTCCGACTCCTGGGTTCAAGCTATTCTCCTGCCTCAGCCTCCCAAGTAGCTGGGGTTATAGGCATATGCCAATACCCCTGGCTAATTTTTGTATTTTTAGTAAAGACAGGGTTTTACCATGTTGGCCAGGCTAGTCTCGAATCCCTGACCTCAGGTGATCCACCTGCCTTGGCCTCCCAAGGTGCTAGGATTACAGGTGAGCCACCACGCCCTGCCATCCCTTGTTCTTTTATAAGGAAATCTGATCTTCTTCCCAGGATTTTTTTTCCTGGTCCCCACTCCAGGATTTGTTTTTTTTAAACATAACATATATCACCACACTAGGCATGGTGGCTCACCCCTGTAATCCCAGCACTCTGTAAGACCAAACAGGTGGATCACTTGTGGTCAGGAGTTCAAGACCAGCTTGGCCAACATGGTGAAATACAGTCTCTACTAAACATACAAAAAATTAGCCAGGTGCCGGGCACAGTGGTTCATGCCTGTAATCCCAGCACTTTGGAAGCCCGAGTTAGGCAGATCATAAGATCAGGAGTTCGAGACCAGCCTGGCTAATATGGTGAAACCCTGTCTCTATTAAAAATACCAAAAAATTAGCTGGGCATGGTAGTGCATGCCTGTAATCCTAGCTACTTGGGAGGCTAAGGCAGGAGAATTGCTGGAACCTGGGAGGCGGAGGTTGGGGTGAGCCAAGATTGAACTGTTGGACTACAGCCTGGGTGACAGAGCAAGACTGTCTCAAAAAAATTTTTTAAATATATATACATATGTATATATATGTATATATATATGTATCTTTTCTCTGTATGAAAGTAATACATAATACAATCTCACATTTGCTACCCTCTTTTTTCTTTGTTTCCTTTTTTTTGTGAGATGGAGTCTTACTCTGTCGCCCAAGCTGGAGTGCATTGGCGCAGTCTCAGCTCACTGTGACCTCCACCTCCAGGGTTCAAGAAATTCTCCTGCCTCGGCCTTCCAAGTAGCTGGGATTACAGGCACCTGCCACTATGGGGTTTCACCATGTTGGCCAGGCTAGTTAGGATCTCCTGGCCTCAGGTGATCTACCCACCTAAGCCCCACAAAGTGCTGGGATTACAGGCATGAGCCACCAAGCCCGGCCACATTTGCTACCCTCTTGAGTAAAGAAAATTAACATTCTCCATCAAAATAATGTTTCTTATTGACTAGCTCTACCCAGGTATCCAAAAAGAAAGATTCAGGAAACAAGGCTAGAAAAATTAAATGATTCATGACCTTAAATCCATCTTACTCACCAAAACATGGCAACTTTTCAGTATTCTTCATGACCAACTGTTCATCAGTAGGAGGGCCAGCTGTCCTTTTTGTTTTATGTAAGCGTCCTTGATCGCTGATTAATAGCATTCTCCCTTTTTCCATCCATGTGATCAAATCTGGCTTGGAAAAAGCATACCCTGCAAATAGAGTTCACATAGACTTTGAGTTTACTGAATACTTTTTTTTTTTGAGACAGAGTTTTGCTCTTGTTGCCCAGGCTGGAGTGCAATGTGCGATCTCAGCTCACTGTAACTTCTGCCTCCTGGGTTCAAGCGATTCTCCAGCCTCAGCTTCCTGAATAGCTGGGATTACAGGCATGTGCCACCACACCCAGCTAATTTTGTATTTTTAGTAGACAGGGTTTCTCCAAGTGGTCAGGCTGGTCTCAAACTCCTGACCTCAGGTGATCCGCCCGCCTCCACCTCCTAAAGTGCTGGGACTACAGGCGTGAGCCACTGTGCCCAGCCAATACTTAAATGAAAATAATTTTTTTGGCTGGTTGCAGTGGCTCATGCCTGTAATCCCAGCACTTTGGGAAGCCGAGGTGGGCGGATCTCTTGAGGTCAGGAGTTAGAGACCAGCCTGGCCAACATGGCAAACTCTGTCTCTACTAAAAATACAAAAATTAGCTGGGCATGGTTGCGCATACCTATAATCCTAGCTACTGGGGAGGCTGAAGTGTGAGAATTGCTTGAACCTGGGAGACAGAGGTTGCAGTGAGCAGAGATTGCACCATTGCACTCCAGCCTAGGCAACAGACTGAGACTTTGTCTCTCTCTCTTTCTCGCTCCATATATATATATATATACTTTTTAATTATTATCATTATTATTTTTTTTTGAGACAGAGTCTCACCCTGTCACCCACATTGGAGTGCAGTGGCACAGTCTTGGCTCATTGCAACCTCTGCCTCTCAGGGATCACATGACCCACCCACCTCAGCCTCCTGAGTAACTGGGACTATAGGCATTGGCCACCATACCCTGCTAATTTTGTATTTTTATAAAGATAGTGTTTTACCATGTTACCCAGGCTGGTCTGAAACTCCTGGGCACAAGCAGTCTGCCTGCCTCAGCCTCCCAAAGTGTTGGGATTACAGGTGCCCAGCCAAAATTATTATTTTTAAAATTTTGTTTTCCTCTCTCTCTTTTTTTTCTTGAGACAGAATCTTGCTCTGTTGCCCAGGCCGGAGTGCAGTGGTAGGATCTCAGCTCACTGTGACCTCCACCTCCCAGGTGGAGCCATTATCCTGCCTCAGCCTCCTGAGTAACTGGGATTACAGGTGCATGCCAACGCGCCTGGCTAATTTTTGTATTTTTAGTAGATAGGGTTTCACCATGTTGGCCAGGCTGGTCTCGAACTCTTGACCTCAGGTGATCTACCCACCTCAGCCTCCCAAAGTGCTGGGATTACAGGCATGAGCCACCATACCTCGCCTCTCTCTCTCTCTTTTACCATTATCCACAATAAAAGTAATTTCATAGTTGACTTTGATTCCTAGAGACCTGAGATATAAGTTAAATCAAAAAACGAAAGCCGCTGAAATTATATGAATGATGGCCAGGTGTGGTGGCTCATGCCTGTAATCCCAGCATTTTGGGAGGCTGAGGTGGGTGGATCACCTGAGGTTGGGAGTTTGAGACCAGCCTGACCAACATGGAGAAACGCCATCTATACTAAAAATACAAAATTACCCAGGCATGCTAGTGCACGCCTGTAATTCCAACTATTTGGAAGGCTGAGGCAGGAGAATTGCTTGAACCTGGGAGGTAGAGTTTGAAGTGAGCCGAGATTGCACCATTGCACTCCAGCCTGGGCAACAAAAGTGAAACTCAGTCTAAAAAAGTAAAAGAAATTACATGAATGACAATCAAATATGGCCTTACCAATACTGTTTAGTTTAGGCCAGGCTCAGTGGCTCATGCCTGTATTCCCAGAACTTTGGGAGGCTGAGGTGAAAGGACTGTTTGCACCCAGGAGTTCAAAACCAGCCTGGACAACATAGGGAGACCCTATCTCTACAAAAATGTTAAAAATTAGCTAGGTGTGGTGGTGTATGCCTGTGGTCCCAGCTACTCAGCAGGCAGAGTTGGGAGGATTACTTAAGCTAAGGAGTTCGGTCGAGGAGACAGTGAGCCGTGATCATGCCACCCACTACACACTCCAGCCTAGGTAGGTGATAGAGTGAGACTCTGTCTCAAAAAAAAACACTGGCCAGGCTCGGTGGCTCACACCTGTAATCCCAGCACTTTGGGAGGCTGAGGTGGGTGGATCACAAGGTCAGAAGATCGAGACCATCCAGGCCAACATGGTGAAACCCCGTCTCTACTAAAAAATACAAAAATTAGCTGGGCGTGGTGGCGCGTGCCTGTAATCCCAGCTACTTGGGAGGCTAAGGCCGGAGAATTGCTTGAACCTGGGAGGCAGAGGTTGCAGTGAGCCGAGACTGCGCCACTGCACTCCAGCCTGACGCCTGGCAACAGAGCGAGACTCTGTCTCAAAAAAAAAAAAAAAAAAACCTGTTCAGTTTAAATATTCTCTGCAATATTTCACAAAATTTTTTGAGACAGTCTTACTCTGTCACCCATACAAGAGTGCAGTGGTGCAAACTCAGTTCACTGTAATCTGTGCCTCCTGGGTTCTAGGGATTCTCTGGTCTCAGCTTCCCAAGTAGCTGGGATTACAGGTGTGTACCACACCTGGCTAGTTTTTGTATTTTTACTAAGACAAGGTTTGCCATATTGGCCAGGCTGGTCTCGAACTCCTGACCTCGTGATCCGCCCGCCTTGGCCTCCCAAAGTGTTGGGATGTTGGGATTACAAGTGTGAGCCACCACCCCCTGGCTTTTTTTTTTTTTGAGATGGAATCTGGCTCTGTTGCCCAGGCTGGAGTGCAGTGGTGCGATCTCAGCTCACTGCAACCTCCACCTCCTGGGTTCAAACAATTCTCCTGCCTCAACCTCCCGAGTAGCTGGGATTATAGGTGCCTGCCACCATGCCCAGCTAATTTTTTGTCTTTTTAGTAGAGACAGGGTTTCACCATGTTAGCTAGGCTGGTCTCAAACTCCTGAACTCAGACGATCTGCCTGCCTCAGCCTCCCAAAGTCCAGGGATTACAGGCATAAGCCACCAGACCCATCCGGAATCAATTACTATATTGATACCAGCAGAAATTTAGTTATTTATTGATAGAAAAATGTATCACACATTTAGTGATACAAAAATGTGTCAGACTGAGCTGGATAAGTAGCAAGTTATAATTTCCCCAAATTTTTCTGTACTATTTTTAATCTACTCCTTGAGTATGTCCCTGGAGTTACCTAAGTGTCCCATCCCACTTCTCTGTCCTCCCTTCTCTACCCAGGCACCTTTTCTTGCCTGTTATATTCACACTCTGCACTATGTTGTGCCCCAGCTTATTTTCAATCACTATGCCCTCCTCATGAAAGCTATAGTTCCTGTGAAGATGAGAAATTCATCTCATTTAGGCAACACAATAAGGAGGCACAAAAGTATTAAAGAAATAAAAGAATACACTTTTGTAAAAGAGGGGGGCAATTAGATTACTTAGTAATTCTAACTGTGGGAGAAATGGGGGAGGGTTAAGGTGGGAGACAGAGAGTTCAGAATATTAATAATACTAAAGGCACAGATACCACTGAGTAAAAACGAATTTAGTATTCCCAGGGTATTATAGGTAGGGAAGGAGGCATTAGGAAGGCAGCTATGCTCACCACTACACCACCAGTGCGGCTGGAAGGAGACATTAGGGCACAGTATCATATTCAACCAGCCCATGACTCCACAGGGAAGGAAGCCTGGTACTACTAGGCTGGTTCCCAAAAAGTGATTCCTTAGAAGGCCCATCTTACCCAGGGAATCAAGGGTCTCGTAATTGGTCTTCATCTCTTGCTTATACATTTGCTTCTGCCACTTCTCCAGGATCTCCCACTCTTGTTCCGAAAAATATAAGGCAACATCATCAAATGTCAGAGTCCCCTGGAATCACAAATAGCATATACATACATTTTTACTTTAAGGCTGCCTTGTTTTTTAATGTCCATTACTATGGAGATACAGAAAGAAAACATGGTAATTATCGCTGGATGGTGCCTATACAATAAACAACAAAGGGGTCACAAATGTCCATTGGAGCCAAGTAAAATGAATGAATGATTGCTCATGCCTGTAATCCCAGCACTTTGGGAGGCCAAGGTGAGTGGATCATCTGAGGCCAGGAGTTTGAGAGACCAGTCTGAGACCAGCCTGGCCAACATGGCAAACCTCATCTCTACTAAAAATACAAAAATTAGCTGGGTGTGGTGATGCATGCCTGTAGTCCCAGCTACTCAGGAGGCTGAGGCAGGAGAATCACTTGAACCCAGAAGGCAGAGGTTGCAGTGAGCCAAGATCATGCCACTGCACTTCAGCCTTGGGTACAGAGTGAGACTCCATCTCAAAAATAATAAACTAGAATGAATGAATAGCAGGCCTTTGAGCACAAAGATCATCTAAAGAGGGATGCTTTACTTAGTAGCAACCAATTACTGCTGTGGAAGACTGGATTCAGTTTTGCTGGATGGGTCCATTTTTGAAAATGTTTTACTTTGAAATAATTATAGATTCACAAGGTGTTGCAAAAATAACACAGAAGGCATCTATGTAAGTTGGCCTATAGTCCCAGCTACTTGGGAGGCTGAGGCAAGAGGACTAATTAAGTTCAGGAGTTCCAAACGAGCCTGGATTCTTTTTCTTTTTTTTTTTTTTTTTTTTTGAGACGGAGTTTCACTCTTGTTACCCAGACTGGAGTGCAATGGCATGATCTCAGCTCACTGCAACCTCCGCCTTCTAGGTTCAAGCAATTCTCCTGCAGCCTCCCGAGTAGCTGGGACTACAGGCGTGCACCACCATGCCCAGCTAGTTTTTGTTATTTTTAGTAGAGACGGGGTTTCACCTTGTTGACCAGGATGGTCTCGATCTCTTGACCTCGTGATCCACCCGCCTTGGCCTCCCAAAGTGCTGGGATTATAGGCGTGAGCCACCGCGCCCGGCCTCTTTTTCTTTGAGACAGAGTTTCACTCTTGTTACCCACGCTGGAGTGCAATGGCACAATCTCCGCTCACCACAACCTCCGCCTCCTGGGTTCAAGCAATTCTCTTGCTTCAACCTACTGAGTAGCTGGGATTACAGGCATGCACCACACTCCTGGCTAATTGTGTATTTTTAATAGAGATGGGGTTTCTCCATGTTGGTCAGGCTTGTCTCAAACTCCTGACCTCAGGTGATCCACCCACCTCAGCCTCCCAAAGTGCTGGGATTACAGGCATGAGCCACCGTGCCCGGCCTTTTTATTTTATTTTATTTTATTTGAGACAGAGTCTTGCTCTGTCACCCAGACTGGATAGAGTGCAGTGGCACAATCTTGGCTCACTGCAACCTCCGACTCCCAGGTTCAAGTGATTCTCCTGCCCTAGTCTTCCAAGTAGCTGGGATTACAGGTGCCTGCCATCATGCCTGGCTAATTTTTGTATTTTTAGTAGAGATGGGGTTTCAACATGTTGGCCAAGCTGGTCTCAAATTCCTGACCTCAAGTGATCTGCCCACCTTGGCCTCCTAAAGTGCTGGGATTACAGGCATGAGCCACCACACCTGGCCAGCTCACATTTTTGAAATTATTATTATTTTTTTTTGAGACAGTCTCGCTCTTGTCTCCCACGCTGGAATACACCCCTAGGCTGGAGTGCAATGGCGCAATCTTTGCTCACTGCAAACTCCGCCTCCCGGGTTCAAATGATTTTCCTGCCTCAGCTTCCTGAGTAGCTGAGATTATAGGCACCTGCCACCACACCTGCTAACTTTTGTATTTTTAGTAGAGATGGGATTTCACCATGTTGGCCATGCTGGTTTCCAACTTCTGACCTCAGATGATCCACCCCAAAGTGCTGGGATTACAGGCATGAGCCACCATGCCTGGCTGAAAAATTAATTTTAAAAAGGTTCCATGTACCCTTCACCAAGTTTACCCAAAATGTCGTATTGTACATTATAGTACAATATCAAAACAAGGAAACTGACATTGGTACGATGTGTGTGTATAATTCTGTTATTTAATCACACATACTGACTCATGTAAGCACCACTGCAATCAGAAAACAACAGTCAGCCCTTGTATTCGCAGGTTCCACATCTGTAAGTTCAACCAACCTTGGATCAAAAGTACTTTAAAAATAAAAGCCAGGTATGGTAATGCCAGCACTTTGGGAAGCTAAGTTGGGAAGACTGCTTGAGCTCAAGCTTGAGACAAGCCTGGGCAACATAACAAGACCGTCTCTATTAAAAAATAAAAAAAGGCGGTGCCTGGTGGCTTATACCTGTAACCCAGCACTTTGGGAGGCTGAGGCAGGTGGATCACGAGGTCAGGAGATGGAGATCATCCTGGCCAACATGGTGAAACCTCCTGTCTAGTAAAATACAAAAAATTAGCTGGGCGTAGTGGCACGTGCCTGTAGTCCCAGCTACTGGGGAGGCTGAGGCAGGGGAAGTGCTTGAACCTGGGAGGCAGAGGTTGCAGTGAGCCAAGATTGCACCACTGCACTCCAGCCTGGTGACAGAGCAAGACTGTCTCAAAAATAACAATAGGCCGGGCCCGGTGGCTCACACTTTGGGAGGCCGAGGAGGGTGGATCACAAGGTCAAGAGATTGAGACCATCCTGGTCAACATGGTGAAAGCCCATCTCTACTAAAAATACAAAAAATTAGCTGGGCATGGTGGTGCGCACCTGTAGTCCCAGCTACTCGGGAAGCTGAGGCAGGAGAATTGCTTGAACCCAGGAGGCGGAGGTGCGGTGAGCCGAGATCGTGCCATTGCACTCCAGCCTGGGTAACAAGAGCGAAACTCCAAAAAAAATAACAATAAATTAAAAAGATAAATTAGTTAAAAAGTAAAAATTTAATATATTTCAAAATGCAAGAAAAGATTAAATAAATTTTTTAAAATCCAGCATAACTGTTTACATAGCATTTATATTGTATTAGGTATTATAAATAATTGAGAGATTATTTATGTACAAGAAGATGTGCACAGGGTATATGCAAAGTTTGCCATTTTATATAAGGGACTTGTGTATCCATGGATTTTGGAGTTTGGTATCTGTGAGGGATCCTGGAACCGATTCCTTGTGGATACTGAGAAACAACTGCATCCCATCACCACAAAGAGCTCCCTTGTTCCGGCCCTTTATAATCACACCCACAAATCCATTATCCATCACAATTCTGTCATTTCAAGAATGCTGGCTGTGTGTGGTGGCTCATGCCTTTAATCCCAGCATTTTGGGAGACTGAGGCAGGCAGATCACCTGGGGCAGAAGTTTGAGACCAGCCTGGCCAACATGGTGAAACCCCATCTCTGCAAAAAATACAAAAATTAGGTGGGCATGGTGGCATATGCCTGTAGTCTCAGCAACTTGGGAAGCTGAGGCAAGAGAACTCCTTGAACCTGGAAAGTGTAGGTTGCAGTGAGCCATGATCACACCAGTGCACTCCAGCCTAGGCGACAGGGTGAGACTCTGTCTCAAAAAAATGAAAAAAAGAACGTTATATAAATGGAATCATATGGCATGCCACCTTCTAAAATTGACTTTTTTCTCTCAGCATAATGTCTTGGAGATTCACCCAAGTTGTCATGTTTACCAGTATAATCATGTGCCACATGATGCTTCAGTAACAGGCCACATATACAACAGTGGTCCTATAAGATTATAAAATTGCTGGACTGGGCGCAGTGGCTCACGCCTGTAATCCCAGCACTTTGGGAGGCTGAGGTGGGTGGATCACTTGAGGTCAGGAGTTTGAGACCAGCCTGGCCAACATGGTGAAACTCTGTCTCTACTAAAATACAAAAATTAGCCACGCGTGGTGGTGCATACCTGTAATCCCAGCTATTCAGAAGGCTGAGGAGAATTGCTTGAACCCAGGAGGCAGAGGTTGCTGTGAACCGAGATTGCACCACTGAACTCCGGCCTGAGCGACAGAACAAGACTCTGTCTCAAAAAAAAAAAGAGATTATAATATTGCATTTTTACTGTACTTTTATATTTAGATACACAAATACTTAGCATTGTGTTACAACTGCCAGGTATGGTAATGCAGTATTCAGGGCAGTAACATGCTGTACAAGTTTGTAGCCTAGGAGAAATAAGCTATATTGTATAACCTAGCTGTGTACTAAGCTATACCATCTAGCTTTTTGGAAGTACACAGTGATATTTGCACAACCACAGAATTGCCTAACAATGTGATTCTCAGACTGTATCCTTGTCATTAAGCAACCCATGACTGTTATTTCATCCTTTTTATTGCTGAGTAGTATTCCATGGTATGAGTATACCAGATTGATTAACCATTCACCTACTGAGAAATATTTTGGTTTTAACTTTTTGGCTATTACCAAAAGAGCTGTTATGGACAATCATGTACAGGATTTTGGCTGGGCATGTTTTTATTTTTCTGGGATAAACGTCCAAGACAAAAACTGCTGTGTCATATGAGTATATATTTAGTTTTTAAAGAAAATGTGAAACTATCTTCCAGAGTTGCTGAGCCATTTTACATTTATATTCCTTTTTTTATTCTCATTTTTTTGAGGTGGAGTTTCACTGTTGTTACCCAGTCTGGAGTGCAATGGCACGATCTCGGCTCACTGCAACCTCCGCCTTCTGGGTTTAAGCAATTCTCCTGCCTCAGCCTCGTGAGTAGCTGGGACTACAGGCGCGCACCACCATACCCAGCTAATTTTTGTGTTTTTAGTAGAGACGGGGTTTCACTTCGTTGACCAGGATGTTCTCGATCTCTTGACCTCGTGATCCACCCACCTCAGCCTCCCAAAGTGCTGTTCTTTTTTTTTTTAAGATGGGGTTTCATCATGATGGCCAGGCTGGTATTGAACTCCCTACCTCAGGTGATCCACCCACCTCGGCCTCCCAAAGTGCTAGGATTACAGGTGTAAGGCACCATGCCCGGCCTTTTTTCTTTTTGAGACAGTCTTGCTCTGTTGCCCAGGCTGGAGTGCAGTGGTACAATCTCAGCTCACAACCTCTGCCTCCTGGGTTCAAGTGATTCTCCTGCCTCAGCCTCCTGAGTAGCTGGGACTACAGACACGTGCCATCAGACCTGGCTAATTTTTGTATTTCTAGTAGAGATGGAGTTTCGCTATGTTGGCCAGACTGGTCTTGAACTTGACCGCATGATCCACCAGCGTCTGATTCCCAAAGTGCTGGCATTACAGGCGTGAGCCACTGCGCCCAGCTGCCATTTAAAATTCCTACCAGCAATCTATAAGACAGCATTTCTTAGCACCCTCCTCAGCATTTGGCAATGTCACTACTTTTTATTTTAACTGTTCTAATAGGTGTATAGTGACCTCTAACTGTGGCTTTAATTTGGTTTTCCTAATTAGTGATGATGTTGAACTTTGTTTTTTCCCATGCATATATTCTCTTTGGTGAAATGTCACCTTATATCTTCTGCCCATTTTCTAATTGGATTTTTTAACTGTCCAGGAAAGACTCTTTTTTTAAAAAAATAAATATGGTGTCTTCCCATGTTGCACAGGCTAATCTGAAACTCCTGGGCTCAAGCAATCCTCCGGCCTCAGGTCCCGAAAGTGCTGGGATTATAGGCGTGAGCCACCTTGCTTGACTGAGCTCTTTATGTAGTCTAAACAGGAGTCTTTTGTCAGATATGTGGTTTGCAAATATTTCCCCCCAGTCTGTATCTTTTTGCCCTCGTAACAGGATCCTTCAAAAAGCAAAAGTTTTAAATTTTGATGATGTCCAATTTATCATTTTCCCTTTATTGATTGTGCTTGTGGCGCCACATCTAGGACCTTCCTACCACGCCCCAGGTCTCAAAAATTTTCTCCTGTGTCATCTTCTACAGGTTTTATAGCTTTATAATTTAATTGAGATGTGTCATTTTCTTTTCTTTCTTTTTTTTTTTGGAGATGGAGTCTCACTGTCACCGAGGCTGGAGTGCAGTGGTGCAATCTTGGCTCACCACTACAACCTTCACCTCCCAGGTTCAAGTGATTCTCCTGCCTCTGCCTCCTGAGTAGCTGGGATTACAGGCATGTGCCACCACAACCAGTAAATTTTTGTATTTTTAGTAGAGATGGTGTTTCACCATGTTGGCAAGGGTGGTCTTGAACTCCTGACCTCAGGTGATCCACCCACCTCGGCCTCCCAAAGTGCTGGGATTACAGGTAGGAGCCATTGTGCCACACCTGGGATGTGTCATTTTAAGAGAAACTGGAAACATACATCATTTTATGTAAACTCATGCTGGCAACTAAAATTCACAATTTTAACAATGGGTGTTTCAAACAAAATGTCTGCAAGCCACCACTGGCTCATGGACCATTAATCTACAACCTCTAGTATGAACTGAACTAACTGGGGCTGCTCTTCCTGGGTGTTCAAGGACAGATCCACTGCAGTGATAGGGAAGCAACAGAACATGTATAACTTCTGAAAATTCCATTTTCACTCTTTTCAGATTCTGTGCTATAAATGTAGATGAGAGCCTACAAAAAAAGCACTGAACACCTTGAAAGATGGCTAAGGCTCTTCCCAAGTGTATAGTAGAAAATGTTGGTCAGAAGCACTAAAGTAAATTCTCTCAATAAGGAAATCTAGGAGACCTGACATTTGACACTTGGGATTTTGGAGAGAAAAATTTCAGAGCTAGAATTCTATCATCAAAACTATCAGAGCCTTGAAAGCTGAAGTATCAGCTATCATGACAAACAAGTTCAAACCTGCTGTTATTTTTATTTTTTGAGGCGGAGCCTGGCTCTGTTGCCCAGGCTAGAGTGCAGTGGCACAATCTCAGCTCACTGCAACCTCCACCTCCCAGGTTCAAGATCTCTCTCCTGTCTCAGCCTCCTGAGTAGTTGGGATTACAGGTGCCCACCACCATGCCCGGCTAATTTTTCTATTTTTAGGTAAAGACGAGTTTTCACCATGTTGGCCAGGCTGGTCTAGAACTTCTGACCTCAGCTGATCAGCCCCCCCTTGGCCTCCCAAAGTGCTGGGATTACAGGCGTGAGCCACCGCGCCTGGCCTGTTATTTTTACAATGCCAAATTCCTTTACAGTTTCCTTGTACCTCACTCGTGTTTTTTGTTTGTTTGTCTTTTTGAGATGGAGTTTCACTCTTTTTGTCCAGTCTGGAATGCAGTGGGACGATCTCAGCTTACCACAACCTCTGCCTCCTGGGTTCAAGCGATTCTCCTGCCTCAGCCTCCCAAGTAGCAGAGATTACAGGTATGTGCCACCACACCTGGCTAATTTTGTATTTTTAGTAGAGACAGGGTTTCTCGATGTTGGTCGGGCTGGTCTTGAACTCCAAACCTCAGGTGATCCATCCACCTTGGCCTCCCAAAGTGCTGGGATTACAGGTGTGAGGCACTGTGCCCGGCCATCCATGTGTTTTCTAACTATAAAATTCCCATTTGTGACCATATTCACAATTAGCACTAAACTGTTACAGTGGAAAGGAAAATCAAGAAAACGATTTCACTTGCCTATCCCAAATAATAAATTAGCCAAGAAACTGTTAGCACATTTTCTATGAACTGAAATGTACAGCCAAAGAAGAGCTACCACAAACTTTCATAGAACAAGGAGGAATATTCCAGGAGGTTCCCAATCATTTAAAGAGAAGAGAAAAAAAGAAAGTCTGGCTGTAGAAACACAGCTTGAAAAAATCAGAAAAGAATCTGTACCAGCCAGCGGAGGCTGGAGAAAAGGGGTGGGAGGCAAAAGGGAAGAATGAAACGCAAATAGGGAGAATTACATTAGTAAGATTGTAAAATTTCATTGGGGCACAAGAAAAACTTGCACATTTAAGCAGGTTATACTTAACTGAATTTAACAGGGTTTCCTGGATTAAGCCTCAGGATATGCCTTTCAAACTAAAACCGCTCAAATTTTTCATTACAATGCTAGAGCATTTATGGTAAATTCTATTTACTGCTAACCACCCAACTCATTTTGTTTTCTCTTCTCTCCTAGAAGGAGCAGTCTCCAATTTCTCATTCCAGTTTTCCTTCTCCTAACTTTTTCTCATCTGCTTATACAGATGTCCTTCTCTGAGGCTGCAGCAGGAGAGCACAGGCTCCAGAGAGACCCCGAGGTTGAGTGCCCCGACACTGAAGGCGGGGACAGCACTGGTGACCCCAGCCAACAACAGGCCAAGGCACATATCTTTCCCACCCAGATTCTTTCTCCCAAACGAATTTTTATTTATTTGTTAAAGAGACGGGCTCTGGCTGTTGCCCAGGCTGGAGGGCAGTGGCTATTCACAGGCGCGTTCCCACTAACGATCAGCACGGGAGTTTTGCCCTGCTCGGTTTCCGAGCTGGGCCACGTCCCCCTCCCTGGGGAACCCGGCGGTCCCCGCTCCCGGGAGGTCACCATACAGATGTGAAACTCGGAGCCACCGCGCGATGGGCACAGCGCATATACAAGCGCAGAGCTCCGGGTTTCAAGCGCTGTTCCCGCCTCAGCCTTCGGAGTGGCCCGGGCCACAGAAGCGCGCTGCTAAGCCCGGCGTCAATTCCAGAACAGCACACGCACCAAGACTGCGCCTCCTCCAGCCCGGCTCGGAGCTCAGTCCGTGGGCCACTGCCAACCCCCAGGCCGGGCCCCCGCCGCCCCACTCCCTGGACGCAGATCCCACTCCAGCCGCGACAGGGACCCGAGTTTCGACAGAGCCTGCATCCTCTACCGGCCCCTCTTACCGAAGCCGGCTCTGCCATGGCGGTTCCGCACGAACCGGCCCCGCCTGGCACGGCCTCCCCTCCGCTCCGCCCCAACCCGACTCCCAGGCAGTGCCTGGGTGCCCCCAAACGCAGCGGCGGCCGGGCGCGGTGCATGCTGGGACTCGGCGGCCGCTCCGTCCCACAGCGCCCCCTGCGGGCTGGAGGAGCGGCGCCGCCCGGGGATCGGTCCTCAGAGGAGGGGCCCGGGCTCGCTCTGTGCAGGCCGCAGCACGCCGATCTTTGTGGGACCCTGGGTCTGCCAGGATCTGCATGGGAGGGAGGCGGTCGGAGACGACTGAGGGAGCTGACCGGAGGGAAATGGCGGAGCAGGTGGACATGGAGATAGCAGGGACTGGGAGACAGTAGGGGCCGGGAGAGGAAGATGCGCTCCACAGAAGCCCAGACTGAGAGGCAGCGAGAGGGGAGCTTCCGGGTGCGGTCCCTCCCAGAGCCGCAATCACGGATGAGCTCGAGGGCTTCGTCTGTGAGGGGGTCCCGGGAATCCAGCAAGGCCGGGCAGGGGGCGGGAGACGCGCGCTGCCCGCCGTGACCCGGGCGTCCGTCCCGCCAGGGACGTGGAGGCTCTGGAGTCCCCAGGCTTGCCCCGTCGGGGACGCGGAGGTGGGGTCCGCCCACCACGCCCGGTCCCCGTGGGTCCAGGGCCCTTCTAGGCTCCCTCGGCCGCCACGCTCCCTCTTGGGAGAGAAGGGCCTTGGGCAGAGACCCCATGGGGAAGCCACCCCAGCTTCAGGGCCGCCTGCGGGACTCAGGGTCTCAGGGTGGCCCAGGGATGCGGGCCGGGCACTCCCGGCCCTGGCGGGAAAGAGAGACAGAGCGGGAGAAGACAGAGGAGGCGTGAGAAACACGGGGACGCAGCAGGAGAGAGGTGGGAAGACGCAGGAGAAACCAGGGAGAGACAGAAAGGAGAGAGAGGGCGAGAAAGGGGCTGGCGATTGTGCACAGAAAATCAGCCTCGCATCTGTCCTGGTCATGTCTGGATACATGTAGTAACCACTGTAACCAGGATACAGAAGAGTTCTGTTCCTCCCTGAAACTCCCTGTGCAGCCATTCTCTTCCGCGCTTTCATTGCTTTATAGTTACTCCCTCCCACACCTGTGTTAGGTACAATGAACCCCAAGTTTCTCTTCAAAGAATCAGTGTGTCAGTATGCTCAGTTCTCTTATTCTTTAATTCTCCATTTTAAAGTTTAACTTCCTTGTAGTTTCAGTAAACAACCTATTCCACCAGTTCTAGTCAGTAGTTCACATCTGTTCCCCGAGTTTCCTGCTCCATCCTCACTCATTGGGTCACCTGCTTTGACCCCTAGTTACCTGCTCGGACCTGTCCGTAAGTAACTCTCCTTCCCGCCAAACTATGCACCCTGCCACACCTGCTCGTACCCCTGCTCCCTTTTTTTTCTTTTTGAGACAGAATTTCGCTCTTGTTACCCAGGCTGGAGTGCAATGGCGCAATCTCGGCTCACTGCAACCTCCGCCTCCTGGGTTCAGGCAATTCTCCTGCCTCAGCCTCCCGAGTAGCTGGGATTACAGGCACGCGCCACCATGCCCAGCTAATTTTTTGTATTTTTAGTAGAGACGGGGTTTCACCATGTTGACCGGGATGGTCTCGATCTCTCGACCTCGTGATCCACCCGTCTAGGCCTCCCAAAGTGCTGGGATTACAGGCTTGAGCCACCACGCCTGGCCACCCCTGCTCCCTTTAAAATAGCCAATTGGAATGAGACTAAACTGTGCTAACCCTAGCCAATAGGGGTAGACATAGCAGTTTATATTCGAGTGCTACTCCTTTTGCAGTACTGAAAATTTTCCATATAACACCTAGACCGCTGCCAAGGACTGATCTGCTCTTGGAACATAGTTTTCTCTTTTTAGGAATGGCATATACATGGAATCACACAGTAACCTTTGGTGACTGACTCCTCAAAAGTATAATGTTGGCTGGGTGCAGTGGCTCACACCTGTAATCCCAACACTTTGGGAGGCCAAGGCAGGTGGATAACCTGAGGTTGGCAGTTCGAAACCAGCCTGACCAACATGGAGAAATCCTGTCTCTGCTAAAAACACAAAATTAGCGGGGCATGGTGGCACATGCCTGTAATCCCAGCTACTTGGGACGCTGAGGCAGGAGAATCACTTGAACCCAGGAGGTGGAGGTTTTGGTGAGCCGAGATTGCACCACTGCACTCCAGCCTGGCCAAGAAGAGCAAGAGTCCGTCTCAAAAAAAAAAGTATAATGCTTTTGTGATGCATCCATGTTGATGAAGAGTCAAACTCTGTAAAATATTTAGAGGTTTATTCTGAGCCAAATAGGAGTGATGAAGGCTGAAGAGGTCCTAAGAACATGTATCCAAGGTGGTTGGGTTAGAGCTTGGTTTTACACGTTTTGGGAAGACTTAACACATCAATTAATATATGTCATGTATACACTGGTTCTGTCAGGAAAGATGGGACAACTCCAAGAGGTGCTTACAGGTCATAGGCTGATTCAAAGATATTCTGATTGGCAATTGGTTATCTGAAGACTGGGTTTATAGAAAGGACTGTCTGGGTTAAGATAAGTGTTGTGGAGACCAAGGTTCTTAGGATGTCTCATAGTGACTGCCCTTAGATGGCAAAAATTTCCTATTTAGGCCTTTAAAACGTGCTAGATTATTTGGCTGGGTGCAGTAGCTCACATCTATAATCCCAGCATTTTGGGAGGCTGAGGCAGTAGGATTGCCTGAGATCGGGAGTTCAACACCGGCCTGGGCAACATGGCTAAACTCTGTCTCTACAAAAAACACAAAAATTAGCCAGGGCCAGGCGCGGTGGTTCACACCTGTAATCCCAGCACTTTGGGAGGCTGAGGTGGGCAGATCACCAGAGTCTGGGAGAGAGACCAGCCTGACCAACATGGAGAAACCCCGTCTGTACTAAAAATGCAAGATTAGCCAGGCATGGTAGTGCATGCCTGTAATTCCAGCTACTTGGGAGGATGGCAGGAGAATTGCTTAAACCCAGAAGGCGGAGGTTGTGGTGAGCCAAGATCTTGCCATTGCACTCTGGCCTGGGCAAAAAGACTGAAACTCTGTCTCAAAAAAAAAAAAAAAAAACTAGCCAGCACCACTGTGCTAATCCTTAATCCCAGCTATTCAGGAGGCTGAGGTGGGAGGATCACTTGAGCCTGGGAGGCGAAGGTTGCAATGAGCCCAGATTGTGCTATGACACTACAGCCTGGGTGACAGAAGACAGAGGGAGACTCTGTCTCAAAAAAATATATATATTTTTTTTGTTGGGAGAAGGTCTTGATGTGTATGTCATAGAATATATGTTGTTTGCTGAGAGGCGATGGCAAGGAATACTGAGCCATCCTCGGGCAGAAAACTGCTAGAATAGTAGGCAATATGTACCGGTCATGCACTAGTTAAACCAGTTCCCAAAACACAGGATATATGACCTTGTTCCCATTGCTGACTTGCAAGAGTGCTTTCTAGCTTATTTCTATCTTAGTAGCGAACAGGCACTATCTGCCTGCTTAGTCTGTCTTTATCCTATGAAGAAACACTGAGCACCTGCTTATTGAAAATAATCACTTGTTCACAAAGAATAAATACATGGGTCAGAATCTGCTCTGGGCTTTCAGCTGGGAAATGCTGTCAGTCCCTGACGTCCCACTCTGATCCCACTTTTGCTCTCTAACTTTGTTTCTGTTTCTTAATTCCTTCAGTGCTGCCTGGGTTGGGTCTCCAGAACCAAGCTGGTCTTGGCAATGTTTTATGTAAATATATAATATATATGGCAAAGAAGCATATTTGGGGATAAAATATTTTTTTTAATGTACTGAAATCTGGATTTATTTATAAACTTATTAGAGGCTGTCAGGGAAACATGTTAGTTCCATTCATTTTTCTTTTTTGTCTAAAATCTTGTTGAGTCACATCCATCTGTATATGTAACACTAACTTGGTAACGGTTTCTTTAAGTCAGAACTCATTTTACCTAGTGGTTTTACTTGCAGTGTTTAAGCTGTATTATATAACATTCAAATAAGTAATTGAGGCTGTCGCCCTGGGTAATGCAGATAATCTCAGCACTTCGGGATGCCAAGGAGGGCAGATGACCTGAGATCAGGAGTTCAAGACCAGCCAGGCCAACATGGTAAAAACCCCATCTCTATAAAAATACAAAAATTAGGCCTAGCTCAGTGGCTCATGCCTGTAATCCCAGCACTTTAGGAAGGAAGCTGAAGTGGGCAGATCACAAGGTCAGGAGTTCAATACCAGCCTGGCCAATATAGTGAAACCCTGTCTCTACTAAAAATACAAAAATTAGCTGGGCATGGTGGTGTGCACCTGGAGCCCCAAGTACTTGGGAGGCTGAGGCAGGAGAATCACTTGAACCCAGGAGGCAGAGGTTGTGGTAAGCCGAAGTCTCACCACTGCACTCCAGCTGGGCCACAGATCAAGACTCCATCTCCAAGAATAAAAGAAGAAATACAAAAATTAGCCGGATGTGATGGCACATGCCTATAATCCCAGCTACTCAGGAGGCTGAGACAGAAGAATTGCTTGAACCCAGGAGGCAGAGGTTGCAGCGAGCCGAGATCACTCCACTGTACTCCAGCCTGGGTGAAAGAGTGATACTCTGCCTCAAAAACAATGACAACAACAACAAAAAACAAGTAATATAAATTTAATTAAAGGATGTGGAAAAAGTCATACAGGCACACTAAAAATGAATTGGAATCCAGCATCTGACACTGATTAACATATTTAGCAGATTAGACAAGACCTAAATTTCTGTAAACAACATTGAAAAACAGAATTTTTTATTATTATTATTTTTTTTATAAAGACAGGGTCTCACCATGTTGGTCAGGCTAGTCTTGAACACCTGACCTCAGGTGATCTGCCCATCTTGGCCTCCAAAGTGCTTGGATTACAGGTGTGAGCCACCATGCCCAGCCAAAGAGG